CACACGTACACATACCCCATGCACACTTACTCATCTTATATGAGAACCAAGAAGAACTCAGGCTTCTCGAGTTAAAAGAGGCACAAGACCCCTTCTCCAGAGACATTTGTGTGCTTTGGGGTAGCTCTTTTTATCAGTAAAAAGTGCTGGTGAGCGTAAGTCCAACATCAGACTTCTACTCCAGAAAATTCATAGACTCACAAAATTACCAAAGATTTATTAAAAGGTAGAGACAATGATAATTATTTTTACTAATTAAGCTAACTTTCCAAATAAGCTAATTTTCCTGTTGGTTCCTCAGTGCCTTCCATTCCTTTAGTGTCATCCCCAAAGAAATTGCAGAGGATAGCTTTGGGCCATTCTGTCACCATTGCCTCAGACAGAAGGGGTGATTTTTCTTTCTCCTTAGTCTCTTGGGTATTTTAAGACTGTCATCTGTTATGCAAAACAAAACAAAACAAAAAACAAACTTTCACTTTTTAACTTAATATTTCATGAAGCTAAACTTCTTTTATTTTGTCGTATTGACATTTGTAGACAGAGGTGTTTTTAAAGTCTGTTGCTAAGAGTTAAGCGGCTGTAATCTGCACAGAGGTATCTTATATATGCAATGATATCCTAGTTGGTAGAGAGCTTGTAGTCCCATGATGGTTTTTTCCTGTCAGAAGACGAAACATAAGAGGCATAAGGGTATGCCAGATGGTGAAATATAGGTTTACAGCACCAAAATAGTGTTGTTTTTTATTAAAAACTAGGCTAGTATTGAATGCCAGAAGGTGTGAAACCCAGCTCTGAGTAACAATCTCCACATTTAGCATTAATCTTGGACCATCTGAAGCTCCCACCAGGTGAAGCAGGGTGGACCCACCAGCATGACTGGGCGCATTGTTGCAGGGCTGCCCACCCAGAATCCTGAAGGCCCAAGGGAGAGCCGGTTGTCCTGCTTCTTGGAGGGTCAGCTTGGCTCCCCACACGTTTTCAGCTCCTTTCGGTAAATCCAAAGGAGAACAATTGCAAGATCATATGTTAAGTGTACGTTTAGTTTTTTAAGAAACTACCAAACAATTTTCCAGGATGGCCATGTTTTGCATTCCCACCAGCAATGAATGAGAGTTCCTGTTGTTCTACATCCTCTCCAGCCTTTTACATCTTGTCAAATCCAGAACTTTTTCATCATCTTGAATGGAAACTCTGTACCTACAATACAATAAGTACCCCTTTCCCCCTTCTCCAGCCCCTAGTAACCTCTATTCTATTTTCTGTCTCTATGAATTAGACTATTCTAGATACATCATGTAAGTGCAATTGTGGCCATTTTTGTAAACAATCTGTCACCCACTCTTAAGGACAGGTAGGTTTATGGGGCTCCAAATTCTTCATCATCATTCTGGATGCAGCCATCCTTCCCAGAGTCACATGTAATCTCCAAGATGCCTGGTCTCCTAGGGTGTGGTAGTGCAAGATCTTATTCTGCCTGAACCTCAGGCCCCTCTCTCTGTCCCTTTAGTGTTGGTTCTCTCATACTCTAGGGAGCAGATGGGTTGCCTCTGACATGTCCTGGCTGCCCGGGTCATGGTGGGGATCAAGAGCCCCACTAGCTGCCGAGACCCGCTGTATTTTCCACATCTACGTGCCATCTCCTTGAACTCACCTAGCAGACAGCAATGTGTCTGGGCCTCTACCATGTGGCTCCCTGGACACAAAGCTGTGGAGACCCTGAAGAGGAGACTACAGAGGCACCCCATTGCTTTTATTGACCTTCAAACCCACTATAATAATAGTATGACCCCTCCCCAGCCTAGGAGAGAGGAGAGGTAGAAAAGAAAGGGATATGGAAAAGAGAGAGAGAGGAAAAGCAGAATGAGGAGTGTGTATAGTAAAGAATTAACCTTGCCCAAAGAAAGGTCTGGCTTTTGCTTCTGGCTCCTGGGAGGTAATCTCTAAACACTTGGAATGTGTTGCCTGGTAAGAGTGCCTTTGTTTACCTGGGGGTAGGGACTTTAGATCACACAGTAGCAGCTCAGCCTCTGGAGGATTAAGGCAAAATTCATCATCTTCCAGCAAAAGAAGACTCTTCAGTACTATGACATTTCCGCTAAAAGTAACTACAACTTTGAAATGCCCTTCCTTTGGCTTATTCGAAAACTAATTGGAGACCCTAACTTGAAGTTTGTCACCATGCCTGCTCTTGCCCCACCAGAGGTTGTCATGGATCCAGCTTTGACAGTGCAATAAGAGGCTGAGAGAGCAGGGCCCCCACAAGTGCCCCGAAACACCACCTCCAAAGGTATCGGATGCCTTAATTCTTTTGTGGCTGACTCGCAATTTTATGGTGTCCAAGCCAACTGCAGGTTGACTGCTCTCATAATGCATGCACTCTCTGCAAATTAGACCTTCATCTTTATTTTCAAGTGCCTGGTAGGAAGATACATTTGGATTCAAAGTCCATTTGCATGTTGACAAGAAATGTCAACATTTCATCTGTCCATTAAAGGAAGAGCTACCAGATTCTTTAAATGTAATTTCAATTGTAATTTAAAACTGCACAATTTTAAATGGATAATAAGGAATGTCAGTTGCTTCCTTGTGCTAATAATGTACGGAGGAGGTAGGAGAATTAAAAATGTTAATCCAGTTACATTCAGAGACCGCAATATGCTGATCGGCCCTGCAGCCAGGCCCGGAGGACACCTGCAGAACAAAGGAAGATTTCTGCTGGGATTGCTAACAGCCCATTTCCCACCCCTGTGAAGGGGAAATAGAAACCAAAAGTTGTACCCGTGGCTAAAACCATGGGGAACCTATGGATTAAAGGCTGGGAACTGCCAGCAGACCTTTCACTCTATATATTTTTACCTTTTCACATTACAGACTCTTATCCTTCCCCTTTGTATGTCCATATCAAAGGAAATGGGTTAACAAAGCCTTTTAAACTATAACTCACAGAAACTAAATAATGATATATAAACTGCATCACTACCAGAGTTTTTCCTTGATAGTGATTATCAAGCATTTAAAGTGTTCGTCGTTATAAAGCCTAGATCAGGAATTGTGTGTGGCTGATGCAAGCATAAAACCTCATATAAAAAGTTCTGTTGATGAAAGCAAACTGGCAGATTGGTTAAAGGCCACCAATCCCTCCCATGCTAGTATTGCCCTTCACTCTGCTGCAGGACAGGGCAAATTTCCCTGAGTTGAGGGGGAGACCATGCCCCGCACTGAGAGAAGAGGGTCCTTTGGCGGAGAGTGTAGGAAGAATTCAACACACACGCCAAAGTTAGAGTCAAAAGGAAAGTTTATTAGAAAAGGGATAACGCTCCACAGACAGAGTGTGGTCTCCTCTGAGGCAGAGAGTGAGAGAGACAGAGAGAGACAAAGACAGAGTAAGGACACTGAGAGGGTCTCTGAGGGTTCAGGGAATTCAATTTATATATCATTATTTAGTTTCTGTGAGTTATAGTTTAAAAGACTTTGTTAACCCATTTCCTTTGATATGGACATACAAAGAGGAAGGATAAGAGTCTGTAATGTGAAAAGGTAAAAATATATAGAGTGAAAGGTCTGCTGGCAGTTCCCAGCCTTTAATCCATAGGTTCCCCACGGTTTTAACCCTAGGGAATGACTCTATTGGTTCCTGTTTCCCCTTCGCAGGTGGGGAATGGGTTGTTAGCAATCTCAGTAGAAAGCTTCCTTTGTTCTGCAGGTGTCCTCCTGACCTGGCTGCAGAGCTGATCAGCAAATTGCAGTCTCTGATTGTGGCTTGATTAACATTTTAATTCTCTTGTCTCCTCCCTACATTAATTCCTTCCATCCAGGGGTGGGTCTATTTCTCCACACACCCCCCTCCTCTGAGTCTGGGTTGGCCTTATGACCTGCTTTAACCAATAGAAGCGAGCAGAAAGCGAGCAGGCTCCCACAGGTCAGGAAGCTTGAGGCTTCTGCCTTGATTCTCTTGGAAGGTTCTGGTTGCCATATAAGGAAGTCCATCTAGCCTACTTGAATATGAGAAGCCATGAAAGAGAGGAGACCTGAGGCGTCCTAGTCCACAGCCAGACATGTGAGTGAGGCCATCTTGGGTCTTTCAGCCCAGCTGACCCTCCCTCTTGGGTGAATCCAGTCAAAACCTGCAGAGGAAGTGCCCAGTCAGCCATAATTACGACAAATCATAGACTATTGTTGTTTTGGGCCTCTACACTTTGGGGTGAGTTGTTACACAGTAAAGGCTAACTAAAACACAAGCTCAATTTATCATTAAAAAATAGAAGTATATAATAGGAAGGGGAAGTCGGTGGAGGTAGAGATGAAACAAAATTGGCCTGACCTTGATAACTGTTGAAGCTGAAAATTCATTATCTACTCATCTATTTTTATATATGTTTGAAATTTGTCATAGTAAAAAGCGAAAAATAAAAAGGAGGGCTGGGAAATTATCATTAGAAAAACATATACACAGTCATGCACCACTTAAAGAGAGGATACATTCTGAGAAGTGCATCTTTAGGCAATTTCATTGTGGGCACATCAGAGGGCATTTACATAAACCTAGATGGTACAGCCAAGTACTGTAATCGTATGTGCTATCCTTTTATACAACTGAAATTGCAGTGAGTTTATTTACACCGGCATCACCACAAACAGGTGACTAATGCCCTACGACATTAGGACAGCTACAACATCACTAGGCCATAGGAATTTTTCAGCTCCATTAAAATCTTATGGGACCACCATAGTATATGTGGTCTGTGGTTGACTAGAAAGCTGTTAAAAGGTGCATGACTACTTGAAATGTAACATCTTTTCTAATAGTTTATATATTTCATTTTCTTTACATAATCGCATAATACACAGAGTGAAATACATTTTTTCCCCACCGGGCCCCATTTGACTCTCAAAGTACACCCCTGAATGTCACAGAAATAGTATATAAATTTTCTGGGCGTGTTATGAGGTGAACGGGGATAAAGAGCCCGGCCTGATCACACATCCAGAAATCTCTCCAAAGGCAGCTCGCACCCCCACCAGGCGGAGCTGCAACGGGGCTGGGGCCTCGGGCCCCCACCTCTGCACCCGGGGATGGGAGGTCGGATGAGGAAGTCCAGCCTCCATCCAGCCGCAAGCTCTGGTGGCAACTTGTACTCAGGCTCGCTTGCCCGAAGGCGGGGGCTCCAGCCGCCGGGTTTAGGTGGGGGCGGGGTAGGGATGGGGGTTGGGAGGGGCCGGAACTGGGTGGCCAGCCTGAATTAGGAACCGCTCCCAACCATCCGAGGCCGGGCCAGAAGCGTCTCTTTGACCGATGGGAGCCATCTTTAGATCCCTGCCTCTATGCTTGCGAGGGGGCGGGTGGCAGGCGCGCGGCCTGGGGGCTCACGGTAGCCCCCGGGCTCCGAGCCTTCGGGGAGCCGGGAATCTCGGCTCCCTGGAGTCACACGCTCCGGAAGCCCCGGTACCCCAAGCACCGATTGGCTGTGAATCCTGCACTGCCGAATCCCAGCCGGCCCGCCTGCAGCCCCGAAGTGAAGGGGCTCAGAGTGGATGACCGGGTGGCGGTGGCCAGCGCGGTCCCCAGCCGAGTACCGGGTGGCCCGACAGGTGGGAGCGCGCGGCCTGGGCTCTGCGGTGAGCGCCACCGGGGCCGTCTAGAACCCGAGTTTCAGCCGCCTTGTTGATCCTGTCCCGCCTCCAGACGTTGGAAATGACTGATGCGAGTTCGACCCGGAAGCCAACCTCAGGAAGCCCTCTTTCCTTGCAAGGACTCCTGGAACCCGCTAGGCGGGGGCGGGGAGGTAGGAAGGGGAGAGGGAGAGAGGGAGGGAAGAGAGGGAGGAAGAGGAGAGAATTGCATTGGCCTGTCGCATCCGCAGCGGAACATGCTGACACCCTGAGTCCCGCCCCGCCCCGCCCCGGGTCCCAGCGCTCCGGGAGCACACAGAACACGCGGACGAGAACATAAACAAGGTTATTTTATTACTTCCTTTTCACTTTTTGCACACTCATCAATAAATAAACTGCAACGGAAAAAAAAAAAAAAAGAAAGCAAGCAGAATCCTAATATCCTGTCTGTGGCCCTTTAGTGTCTTAAGGACGAATTACGGCTGGTTAGCGGTGAAGAATCCCTCCAATGCCCCGCTCCAAATCAGCCTCTACAAGGCCTTAAATCAAACGGGAAAAGCACATACCAGCAGCAAGCACAGAAAGTGGGGCCGAGTCTACAGCCATGCCGCCCTGAACAAGCCCGATCAGGTCTGATCTCAGAAGCTAAGCAGGGTCGGGCCTGGTTAGTACTTGGATAGGAGACCACCTAGGAAGACAAGGTGCTGTAGGCGTGAAATAAATAAAATAGATAGATGATAGATAGATGATAGATAGATAGATACATAGAAAGTGGGGCTAAGTTTCCCCACCAGCTCACATATGTTCCTGCTCCTGGGGGACTACTGGCACATGTCACAGAACTAGGCCCAGCTGAAAGCCACCAACCCTACACACCTCCTAGTACCGCCTCTCCCCCTCATCTCCTTGCAGGAACGGGTTCCTTTGTACCGAGTCCTCGCCTCCACCCACTGAAGCCAGTTGTTGGGGCAGGAAACAAACACCTGGCTCAAGGTAATGGGCCATCAGAGTCCCCTTGCTCAGGAATTTAGGAATGGGATGGGGAAAGAGAAAACAGTGTCTATCCGTTCAGTGTAAATAGAGGAGCTATGAGAGGCTGAGGAGACAGGAGGAGGGAGGGGGAAAGAAGGAGGGCGGGAGGGTAGAAGAGCGTGAGAATAAGAGATGTTAGCATACAGAAGGGCAGGCCACAGGAATTCTGCCTCTGCTTGTGCTTCCTGCTGCCTTCCAGGCACTTCTGAGGCCCACTGCAGCATCCCGTCATCTTCTATAACAATAGTCCTTTCTTCTGGTTCACTAGGTACCTATGATTTACTACCTTCTGTGGTTTAGTGAGCTTGAAACTTCTGTTAATTGTACTCAATGGACTTCTAAATAATATGCCCTCAAATCAAAGCTTTCGTTCTCCTTTTACTGTTTTTGAAAATAGGTTTTATTTTTTAGAGTAGTTTCAGGTTCCTAGCAAAATTGAGAGGAAGGTCCAAAGATTTCCAATATACCCCTGCCCCCACACATGCACTGCCGCACCCATTATCAACCTGTTCCACTAGACTGGTACATTTATTACAGCTGATGAATCTACATTGACACATCATTATCACCCAGAGTCCATAGTTTACCTTAGGGTTCACTCTTGGTGGTGTGTACTTTCTATGGGTTTGGACAAATGTACGATACATATCCACCAATATAGTATCATACAGAGTAGTTTCACTGTCCTAAAAATTCTGTGTGCTCCACCTATTCATCCTTCCCTCTCCCCAGCCATCAACCACTGATCCTTTTACTGTCTCCATAATTTTGTCTTTTCCAGAATAGTTGGAATCATACAGTATGTATGATTTGTCCTTTTAGATTGGTTCTTTCACTTAGTAACTCATTTTACTTTCATGGTAAAAGTTTCCTGCTTATGTGTTCCCAATTTTTCTCTCCTTTAGTGTACACAATACATAATACCCTGTAATCGAAGAAAAAAAATTATTGCAGGCTTACAAATAAATTGGAATCAAATGTTTTTCCTTTGGGAAAAAGGAAGCTACGATTTACTGAATATTGGAAACTAGAAATCCAAGCACCTCTAGTTTTAGCCACAGTCTAAAGTGTTCTCTGCCTTCATCCTCCAGAGCAGAGATGTTAAAAAACCTAGGGATGTATGCTCAGAAGAGTGGCTGCTTCACCCAAGGATAGGCATGACCCTTGGAGGCCTGGCATCCATGAAACCATCCTGAAGGCTGCCTCTCCTCACTCCCGCGGCAGTGTGGTTCTGTCCGAGGTAAGAAGAGCCCAGCAATGTTCTGCATTGATTCAGAACTAGCGGCCTGTTTCCAGAGCACCTGCAAAAACTCATCTTCCTCTTATTTCTCTAGATGTCATGATCATTGTGCTACTGGCAGGTGTTTTTCTGACTTAATCTCCACGCTGTCTTCTCAGCATTTTCCCATCAGCCGTAATAATAACGACAACAATAGCAGTTGATATTATTGCTAATTATATGCCAGGCACCTTGCTAAACACTTTATATGTGTTTATTTAATTTTCACAGACTTATGAGGTAGGTAACAGTAGTATCCCCCATTTTTATAATAGAGGAAGCCGAGGCACAGAAAAATTAAATTACATGCTCAAGCTCATACAGCTTGGAAGTTGCGTAACCAAGAGATGAATCCAGACAGCCTAGTTCCAGAGTTTAACTGTTAACCACTACACTGTGATGGGAGAAGATATTAGTTATGTATTGCTGCATAACAAATTACTCCATAATTTCATGGTTTAAATCAATGAACAATTATTATCATATACAGTTTCTGAGGATGCTCTGGCTCAGGGCGTCTTGTGGGGAAAGCTGAAGTCAAGCTGTCGGCCAGGGCTGCACTTTCCCAAGACTTGACCTGGCCTAGAGGATCTGCTTCTAAGCTCATTCATGTGCCTGTTGGCAAGAGGTTTCAGTTCCTTACTATGTGGGCCGCTCCACAGGGCTACTCCAGACAAAGCTTCCCCCACTTCTGCCTTATATTCTATTAAGTCCAGCCCACATTCAACATGAGTGGATGACAGAAAGGCATGAATACCAAGAAGCAGAGATCACTGGAGGCCATCTTGGTGGCTAGTTACCACAAGTATGAAGAAAAGACAGACAGAAAAGGACCTTGTCCTCAGAAAAACCTAAAACCTGCTCTAGAAGTGACAGAAAAACCTACTGTGCGAACATTGGTCACAACTCAATAAGCCTTTGCCTTGTGTCTGATACATTTCACTAGGCACTGTGAAGAGAGGTAGACTTATCTTGAACATGAGCTCTGTGAGGACAGATTCTACATCTTAGATGCAATATGGTTGTCAGGTTTCCATGAATATTTTTAATGGACACGAAAGAAGTAAAAGATGCACTCATTGCTCTTAGAAAGTTAACCTAGTTTTAAAAAAATCTTAATTACATTTTATTTGCATACTTTTGTGGGTAAAATATAACAAAATTTACCACTTAAATAATTGTCATAACTATGTATAGTACCAGTTGGGTATTAGACTAATCGAGGGGATCACTTTGTAAATTATATAAATGTCTAACCACTATACTGTATACCTGAAACTACTATAAAATAATATTGAATGTCAACTTTAATTCAAAAATTAAAATTAAAAAAAGGTTACCACTTTAACCATTTTTATTTGTAGCATTTAGTGGGATTAAGTACATTCACATTGTTGTGCAACCAACCATCAACGCCATCCATCTTCAGAACTTTATTATCCCAAGTTGAAAATCTGTGCCCATTAAACAACAGCTCCCCATTTCCCAGTTCCTCCTTCCCCTGGCAACCACCTCTATACCTTCTGTCTTTGTGAATTTGACTGCTCTAGGTACCTGATACAAGTGAAATCATACAACATTTATTCTTATGTGTCTGGTTTATTTTGCTCAGCATACTGTCTTCAGGTTTCATTCATGTTGTAGCATGTGTTGAAACTTCATTTCATTCCTTTTTAAGGCTTAATAATATTCCACTGTGTGTATACACCACATTTTGTTTATCCATTCATCCATGGATGGACTTTTGGGTTGCTCCCTCCTTTTGGCCATCATGAATAAAGCTGGGTGTGCAAATATCTGAGCCTCAGCTTTCTACTCTTTTGGATGTGTACCTA